GCTCCTGCCGCCGCCGCCGCCCGCCAGACGGGCAGGAGGAGGAGGAGGAGGAGGAGGAGGAGGAGGAGGAGGCGGGCCCGGGCGGAGCCCCCCGAGAGCCCAGAGCCGGCCGGGCCGCCGCTGATTGGCCGCCGAGGCGAGGCCCGGGCCGGCTGCTCCTCCTTCTCCTTCTCCTGCTCCTCCCGGGAGGCGCGCCAACAAGCGGCGCCCTCTGCCAATGCTGCCCGCTGTCCCGCCGCCACCAGCCTCGCCCTCGCCCCGCCGCCGGCAGCCAGGAGGAGGGTTCTTCTCCCCAAAGGAGCGCTGTGTTGGTCCCCCTCCTTCTCCTCCACTGCATGCTCCTCCCAACAACAGCCCTGCGAGGTGGGCCAGGCGGAGACGGAGGCTGCGGTCACACACACACGGAATAATCCACTTCCAGGGCGCTTCCCAACTGGATTGTAACCGGCAAGATCCAATTCGAAAGCGGATTGTTTACTGTGTGTGGGTGGTGTTCCCTCTAAGCTGGGTGACTGTGAGGCAGCTCACAGTTTTTTAGCCTCCGTTGCTTAGGAAGGACGGCTCCAGAGCAAACGGATTGATGCAGCAACCAAATCGCTTGCTCGTAACGTTAATGCCAGTAGCTCGCAAACTAGAATTTTTGCTCACAAGACTCCACGGCTTGGAGGGAGCATTGCTTGCAAGCAGTGTTCCCTCTAAGCTGAGTTGGTGTGAGCCAGCTCACAGTTTCTTAGCCTCCGGCTCACATATTATTTTTGTCTTCACTCAGGAAGGACGGCTCCAGAGCAGACTAATTGATGCAGCAGCCAAATCGCTCGCTTCACACCTTTAATGCCAGTAGCTCACAAAGTAGAATTTTTGCTCACAAGACTCCACAGCTGAGAGGGAGCATTGTAATGTGTGTCACAGCCTGAGAGGGTCACCGGCAAGCTTCCCCGGCGAGCAGGCACTGGAACTGGGCTCTCCAAGGTCCTTTCCTCCACTGCGAGGTGGGCCAGGCGGAGAGAACTTCACCCAGCAAACTTGAGCCAGTTTCATGTCGTGGTTAGGAGCGCAGACTCTTAACTTGGGTTTGATTCCCCACTCCTCCACATGATGCAGCTGCTGGTGTGACCTTGGGTCAGTCACAAGTTATTTCAGAGCTATTCTCTCAAAAGCAGTCCTCAAAAGAGCTCTCTCAGCCCCACCTACCTTACAGGCAGTGTTCCCTCCAGTGTTCACAGTGCTCACAGTGTTTTAGCCTCCGGTTCACACATTTTTTTGTCTTCGCTCAGGAAGGATGGGCTCCAGAGCAAACTGATTTATGCAGCAGCCAAATCGCTCGCTCACAACTTTAATGGCAGTCGCTCACAAGGTAGAATTTTTGCCCACAAGACTCCACAGCTTAGAGGGAGCATTGCTCACAGGGTGTCTGTTGTGGGGAGGGGAAAGGAAAGGAGATTGTAAGATGCTCTGAGACTCCTTCAGGTAGTGAAGGGTGGGGTATGAATCCAATCTCTTCTTCTGAGAAAGTCATACTCTTTCAGTCTACCCTACCTCACAGGGTTATTGTGAGGATATAAAAGGAGGAGAGAATGATGTCAGCTGCTCTGGGTCCCCCTTGGGGCAAAAGGCCAGGTACAGATGAAGTAAATAAACAAATGAGCCTCTTCGGCTGGCGGGAAGCCCACTGGTTTTGTGGGGCCAATTCGATCACCCTTGTCTACATCAAGCAGTCGACTTTGCTAGTCCTGGAACTCGGATGAGATGGCACCATTAAAAAATGACACCACGCTCATGCCACATTCCAATGGCAGAGTATATTCCCAGTGGACACTCTTTCAGTTTGGCATAGTGGTTAAATGCACGGACTCTAATCTGGGAGAGCCAGGTTTGATTCCCCACTCCTCCACTTGTAGCTGCTGGATGACCTTGGGCAAGCCATAGTTCTGTCAGAGCTGTTCTCTCAAGGGCAGTCCTCGAAAGAGCTCTCTCAGCCCCACCTACCTCACAGGGTGTCTGTTGTGGGGAGGGGAAGGGAAAGGAGTTTGTAGGCCGCTCTGAGACTCCGAGTGAAGGGCCGGGGGTATAAATCCAATGTCGTCGTCTTCTTCAGGCAGAGGCTCGGCTGACAGAACAAGAGCTCTCATTCTTCTAAAGCATTTACACACCCGCCCTTTTTCGCTTGGCAGTGGTTGCCCTAGATCTGGAGGACATGCTTGCAGACATAGAAAGAGGTAACCACATTTGTTTTTCTGGTGGTTCATTCAGCCTTCAGGCAAGAACACACCCACTTGACATCCCTACTGGTTTGGTTAAATTATGTTCTTATTAGGGGATCAGATCAATTCATGGAGGATAGGTCTGTCAATGGCTACTAGTCATGGTGACTGAGGGGAACCTCCACATTCAGAGGCACTAATCCTCTGAACCCCAGAACCCTGAGTCAACATCTGGGGAAGGCCTCGGCCTCTCTGCCCTGTTGCTGGCCCTCCAGGGGAACTGGTTGGCCACTGTGTGAGACGGGAGGCTGGACTAGATGGACGTGGACCCTCCCTGGTCTGATCCAGCAGGGCTGCTTTTATGTTCTAATTAAATTGGCAGTGGATGGGGAAGAAAAATGGAAAGAAATGTGGCTTAAAGAGCCCGATCCCAGGCACGTTTACTCAGATTTCAGTCCCAGCATGCTCAGTGGGGGTTTCCTCCCAGGTAGACACACATCCGATTGCAGCCTTCAGCCACTTCCTGTTTCCTTTCACTTCTCAGACCGTCTGAAGCTGTGAGCCGTGACTCACGAAAGCTCATCTTGAAATAAATGTTGTTCATCATTAAGTTGCTGCTGGGACTTTGCATTCAAATGAATATCCATATACAGCGTTTGTTTCCCCTCCTGTGTCTTTACGCAGCCGCGCTGTGTGAGGAGATTAAGCAGGTGAAGCTTTTCCGGGCATGGAGCTAAATTACCGGAAAGGCTTCACCCGCTGAGACTAGAGTCAAGGCTGTGAAGTGGAACGTCGCTGCACTTCTCTGTACTTCTGTTGTCTGCAAGACTTCCTCTGCAGGGTTGGCCAGAGACTCATCTGCAAATGGCTCCCAGGCCTTTAAATACAGCAGGCTGCTGGCCTCCTGGTCTTCTGACCCTGTCTCCTCCTCTGCCTGTCAGTTCTAACTCATTAACTCTTCATCAGTGGTATATGCAAATATGGGAATATTATACAATGGAGAAAACAGCAATCTCCATACCCTCTGTCAGCTCCTATAAGGCTCAATCTTTATTTTTCTCTAAATGGTTCCCCTTTATAGAAGCGACCTTTGCTAACACTATTGTTCCTACAGATACTATTCCCAAAAGGTATTTGGAAATCATCTCAGCATTGTGATGTTACTAAAGGGTTTGTTCAATTGCTTCATTTTTCATCTATTTTAGCACCATAATTTTGGAGTACTGATAGTAAACCTATCTTGTTATCACTGACTGTTTATATCTCTGTTTATGTACACTGTTTTATTTCACTGCTCCGTCTGTATTTCAGTTTTTGCTACAGCGCTCTTGCTGTGTTAAAGTTATGTACACTGTTGTATTTCACTGCTCTGCTTGTATTTCAATTTTTGTTATGGAGCTCTTGCTGTGTTAATGTTAAAGTTAAAAGTTATAAATAAAGTTTATATAAAAAATGATGGCTTTTTCCCCACAGTGAGAAGTAGAGGAGGAGGGAAGACTGCTCGTGCAGCAGGACTTCTATCTCTGGACAGGGACGTCACCATTTTAGGCAATAAATACAGGCAAAGTACCATCTAGTGGACAAAGCAGAAAGCTACTGCCTGTGGCGACTGACCGTAACTAAACCCTGGAGTTAATCATTTAACACACAAACACCCCATAAATCTGTTTTATTTTTGGTTCATATTGGGGGGGGGGTTTGTTGTCAACTGCCCTGCTGATACCTGGCCACACTGGAGGACCTCCTGATGGCACCTGGTATTTCTGGCCCCCTGTGTGACACAGTGTTGGACTGGATGGGCCTTTGGCCTGATCCAACATTGGCATCTCTTATGTTCTTACCTATGAATTCAGGAAAGGGCAGTATATACGTTGAAGTTATAAATAAATAAATAAATAAATGAAATAAGCCACCTGGCCTGAACCAGCAAGGCTCTTTTATGCACTGATAAGAGGATGGGGAAAGGGCCCACCAGCACCTCGTTACTTATACACAGGGATGGAGCCTCCACGGACAGAGGCAGTGCACCTGAGCTGGGAGGGAGGTGCAAAGGACAGGGAAAAGGGGGCCACCTTTGCACCCTGTTTGCATTTGTCTGAGGCTGACCCAGAAGAGCCTCCCGAAGGGCTCAGCTGGGCTCTTCTTCCCCTCCAGGCGGCGCTTTCCTCTTTGCAGAGAATCGCCGCCATACGAAAGATTCTCCCAACAAGGGAGGAAAGAAGGTGAAGAAGCCCCTCCACGCTGATTGGCCGAGCTCGCAGCCAATGGGGAGCGCGCAACGGACGCCGGCCGGCAGGAGGGGGCGCGGCTTCTCGCGCCCGCTCGCCCGAGAGCTTCTGGGTCGCGGTTGCTCGGGCAGCCGGCTTGTTGACATCCGGGAACTTTCCATTCCGCCCCCGGCGGCTTCCGGTTTCCGTTGCCCCTTTCCAAGATGGCGACCATAACTGAGTTGAAAGCAGGTAGGGCAGGAAATAAAGACCTCTCCCCCCCCCTCTTTTTTCTTCTTCTTGTGTTGGAGGGGCTACTCCTTAAAGGGCCTCAAGCCTTCTCCCCCCCCCCTCCAGAGCTCCTGTCTTTGGAATGGCTGCATGCATGGCAGGCAGAAGTTGCACAGGGATTTGCACAGCTGCAAATGAATGGGGTGGGGGAGGCAGGTGGAAAGCTCGATTAGGAGAATGGCATTTTTTTAAAAAAAATTATAATTATGGGGTCTATCTCTTTCCTTTTGGCATGCAGCCTTCAAGGCAACTTGCAAAGGTGGTGGTGGGGAGAGAGACCCTTCACTAAATCAGAATAAAAACATCCATAAATCAGCAGTAAAACCACAGAGGGTAAGACTAGCAGCAGCAATAAGAATACAGTAAAGAATAGCAGGGGAAACTATATGTTATTTTATTTTTTTTGGCCCCCCGTAGGGGATTTTTTAATTTGCATTTTCTACAAACTGCATAGAAACAAGGACTACATACTATGGGTGAAAGTAAAGAAAAACCTCTAAAAACCCAAGCAATGGTGGTCATATACATTGTTTATAAATTTAGCTTAACATTTATATAAGCTTTTTACTTTGCTACAAACTTTCTTCATGCTATTACTAGAATCTCCAGCAAATCTGACTATATAAAGAGCTCTATAAAGGAATGCTTTCAGTTCATTATACCGAGAGCCCAGAGATCAATAACAACTCATTTTCTTTTGCTTTTTATTTCTCAGTCTATAGCTTAATTAAATTAAGGTAAATTAAACTATATGTTATTTTTATGATATTCAGTTATGTTGCCATTGCAAGCATGAAATTAGCGATGTTTTCTTTTGGTGGCAATTTGCTGCCGGTGACAATTTAAATGCTTGATGGGGACATAACAGAAGATGTTAGGGGTACGGGGGGGGCAATTCTCAGATGCTGGTTTCTTTTTTGTGCATGGAGTGTTGTTTTTGCAGTGATCTGCTTGCTACCCCACCCTTAATTGTCTGATCAGTTCATTGCAGCAAAATTAAACAGAAGCCCCATGGCACCTTAAAGACTGCATTTTTATAAAGTGCCTGGTGGACTTAAGTGCGCGGAGAACTGGGTTTCATTCCCCACTCCTCCTCCACTTGCAGCTGCTGGATGACCTTGGGCAAGCCATAATTCTGTCAGAGCTGTTCTTGAAAAAGAGCAGTTTCTCTCGGAGTTCTCTCAGCCCCACCTACCTCACAGGGTGTCTGTTGTGGGGAGGGAAAGGGGAAGGAGCTTGTAAGCCGCTCTGAGACTCCAAGTGAAGAGTGGGATATAAATCCAATCTCCTCCTCCTAATTCTCTTCTTTCTTGTGTACTAAGAAGCTTAAACAAGTTGCCAGCTGTTCGTAAAACAGGCAAACTGAAATGATGGCTTCCTGATAATGCCTGGTGATTTCCCTCTCCTGCTCAAGTCTACGTTTCCAGTGTCTTGCCTTTCACTCCTCTGAAACTGGTAGACTTGAATCCATATTTTTGCATGTTTGCCAATTACTTTTAAAAATGAAATTACTCATTCCCCAACTGTCTCTGTTGATCAGCTTCCTGCTCTGGTAAATTGCTTTCCCTATTTTATGCTTTCTGGGAATGCTGTTGTAAAAGGTTTCTGGATTTCTTCCAGGGGGCCTCTCTCCCTCTCTTGTGCATTTATATAAATGACAGGGTACTTTACAGTTCACAGTCTGCTGTTTCATATCATGCAACTGTGGAGGTATATGCTAAAAGAGAGGGCAGTGTGGGTAACAAATTTTTAGCCAAAAGAATGAACTTCTCCCTGGCCTTTAAATCAATAGGAGACTGGTGTTTGCCTACTAAATGAATGCAGGAGATGCAGGGCAGAGTAGAACAATGTCTAAGCGAGAAACGGAAGCAGCCTAAGCAGGGATCTTTGTTGTGAGAACTGGGATGTTTAAACAGCTAGATTCAAGTCCCGTAGCACCTTAGAGACCAACAGGATTTTGAGGGGTATAAGCTTTTGAGAATCCCCTCTTTAGATACCTTTAACTCATGAGAGCTTACACCCTGTAAATCTTGTTGGTTTCTAAGGTGCTACGGAACTCAAAAACCGAGCTATTCTACTCACTTCCCTGTGAAATGATCTTGATGTATAAACATAGAATCATGGAGTTGGAAGGTACCTCCAGGGTCATGTAGTTTAACCCCCTGCACAATGCAGGGAATTCACAAATACCCCCCCCCCCTACACACACACAGTGACCCCTGTTCCATGCCCAGAAGATCCCTAGTCAAACTGGCCTGGAGAGCAATGGCTTCCTGACCCCAAAGTGGCAGTCAGCATTTCCATGGGCATGTAAGAAAGGGCCATGAGAACTAAGCACTGAGGCAACCCTTCTTGCCCTCCCTTCTCACGATCTGGCCAAGTTCACAGGATCCACATTGCTGTCAGATGGCCATCTAGCCTCTGTTTCAAAACCTCCCAAGAAGGAGAGCCCACCACCTCCCGAGGAAGCCTATTCCACTGAGGAACCTCTCTGACTGTCAGGAAGTTTTTCCTTGTGTTTAGCCGAAAACTCTTGTGATTTAATTTCAACTCGTTGGTTCTGGTCCGACCTTCTGGGGCAACAGAAGACAACTCCGCACCATCCTTGTACTTGAAGATGGTGATCCTATCACCTCTCAGTCGTCTGCTCACCAGGCTAAACATACCCAGCTCCTTCACCCTTTCCTCAAAGGACTTGGTCTCCAGATATGTTTCTGTTTTTGTCTGTGAAATGTTGGAACATACAGTAAAGTTGTATCTGGTGCTGGTGCAAAGTCAGATGTGCCAAACCCTTAAGCTTATTGCTCTGTCTCATGGGGAGTGCCATGGCGACAGCCCCCGTGCCTGGCAGGACCCTTCCCCTTTCCCCAGAGCCAGAAGCCCAGCAACAGCCAGAGGTGTCAACCTGGCCAGTTGGTGCGCACATGCCCAAAGACACCTGGCTGGATGCCTGTGATGCTAACTGAATGTTCTCGAGAATCAAGTGCTGGATAATAAGCCCTGACCTGGATAGCCCAGGCAAGCCTGATCTCGCCAGAAGCTAAGCAGTGCCGACCCCGGCAAGTTCCTGGATGGGAGACCTCCAAGGAATACCAGGGCTGGGACGCAGAGACAGGGTATCAAGCCAACTCTGTGAAACGTCCTTGTAATGATCTCATGTTTGGGTGTGTGTGTTTGGGGAGAGCCAGTTTGGTGTAGTGGTTAAGTGTGTGGACTCTAATCTGGGAGAACCGGGTTTGATTCCCCACTCCTCCACTTGCACCTAGCTGGATGACCTTGGGCAAGCCACAGTTCTGTCAGAGCTGTCCTTGAAAAAGCAGTTTCTGTCAGAGTTCTCTCAGCCCCACCTGGCTTACAGGGTGTCTGTTGTGGGGAGGGGAAGAGAAAGGAGTTTGTAAGCCGCTCTGAGACTCCTTTGGGTAGTGAAGGGCGGGGTATAAATCCAATCTCTTCTTCTCTTTTAAATGTTTAGTGTGAATGCAGTAATATGAGAAGAGTGACAGAGGGTGAGAAGTGTGATTTGATTGGCTACTGACTGAGAGTGTGGGAGGAGGAGGAGATGTTCTGAGATGATTCTGTGTGTGTGTCTATGAGGGGATTCTGTGATATGAGAGAGACAAGTATGGAAGAGTTTTGAAGAGTCTGTGTGACTCTGAGAGTTGTGCAGGATTCTGTGTGTGAAGCTTGAAGAGAGAACATAGTCTGTGTGACTATGGAATTCTGAGTCTAATTCTTTGTGAATTAGAGCAACAGTTTAGGCTGTGTGACTAAGAGAGTTGATTCTATTCAGTGTGAATAAAACAAAGAGACTAGCCTGTGTGGCTATATATATGAGTGTATAAGCCTGCAGTGGCTCAAGTGGTTAAGACACTGAACTGCAGGCTGTGGAAGGTCGGTAGTTCAGCAGTTCGAGACCCGAGTGCCGCATGACGGAGTGAGCTCCCGTCTCTAGTTCCAGCTCCTGCCAACCTAGCAGTTCGAAAGCAAGAAATTGCAAGTAGATAAATAGGTACCACTTCGGTGGGAAGGTAACAGAGTTCCATGCGCCTTGGTGTTTAGTCATGCTGGCCACATGACCACGGAAACATCTTCGGACAGCGCTGGCTCTTCGGCTTTGAAACGTAGATGAGCACCGCAACCCTAGAGTCGGACTCGACTGACTTTTGAGCAAGGGAACCTTTACCTTTACCTTTTATAAGCCTGTCAGAGTGGAGTTTGGAGTTTGAGAGACTGTTTGTAGCACCAAGCTTTGCCAGTTATATTTACAAGTTCCTTTCGTCAGCAACTGTTCAAAATAACCACAACCTATTTTGTTCTTTATTAAATAAAAAAAATCAATTTTTGGTTAAACTTATCCCAGAAATCAGTACAGTACTTCCTCAGGGCCACATAGTCCTCTGAAGTGCCCAGACCCTAGGTCATACTACCAAAAGATAGAGATTTGGAATTCCCGGTGGCAGCATAAAACTACCAAGTTTATGTACTCAGAGAGTGTTTAAAGGTAAAACCGTTTCCCCTATAAGCAAGAACCTCACAGTCCTAGCCCAACTAGGGGTCACCAGAAAGTCACCATGACTTCTAGGCTCGCAAGCACGCACACACGCACACACACACAAACAAGTGCTGGATAATAAAACTTTTACTGTATATCCCGTCCCCAGCCTTGGAAGCTACTTGCTTTGAAGTTGCTCTAGGGAAAGGTTTTTTTTTTTATCATGCCTTGATACAGGAGCCCTGTTGGATTCCTGGACCAGCAAGTTAAAGTGCTCTCCAAGGATAGTGCATGCAGTTAGGTTTCTCGTAACGGAAGAATACCCGGTTTTGTGCCCCCAGTTTTAAAAGATACACTGGAGAAACGAGGGATTCTGGGGCAAATCAAAGCGAGGGTCCGAGCAGAGGTGTTCAATGCGCTGGACGACCAAAGCGAACTGCGACCGCTATTGTCCCACGAAAATCTTCTGATCAACGAACTGATCCGTGAATACTTGGAATTCAACAAGTACAAGTATGCTGCGTCTGTGCTAACGGCAGGTAAGCATTTCTCTGACGCCCTTTCTCAATATTGTAGCAGGACCAACGTTTTAGAAGTGGATATGTACAAAATATTGCAGTAGTTGTTCGTTCAGATAGATCTAGAAACAGTAACGTTTGAAAAGTCTGGGTGAGGGGCCACATTTTGGTGGTAGAGCATCTGCTTGGCATGCAGAAGGTCCCAGGTTCAGTCCCCGGCATCTCCAGTTAACAAGGACCATGCAGTTGGTGATGGGAAAGACCTCCGCCTGAGACCTTAGCTGTCAAGAAGAGCTGTGGCTCAGTGGAAGAGCCTCTGCTTGGCATGCAGAAGGTCCCAGGTTCAATCCCCGGTTATCTCCAGTTAACAAGGACCAGGCGGGAGGTGATGGGAAAGACCTCCGCCTGAGACCCTGGAGAGCTGTCAAGAGGGGCCATGGCTCAGTGGCAGAGCCTCTGCTTGGCATGCAGAAGGTCCCCAGTTCAATCCCCGGCTGCATCTCCAGTTAAAAAGGACCAGGCAGGAGGTGACGGGAAAGAGCTTGATCTGCCTGAGACCCTGGAGATGTGAGTAGTGCTGACCTTGGTAGAAGAGTAACTTCGTGTGTCCGTGTAAATGACGGTTCATAAGCCTGTTCTAAAAAGTAATGGCCTCATGTTTATGCTTCTGTGGTGTACTAGTCACAATAACTAAATGGAACCTCCATGTTCAAAGGCTAAACAGTTGGATAAGCATATGGAGCAGAGGTCCATCAGTGGCTCTTAGCCGCAACGTCTAGACAGGAACTCTCAGTCTGGGGCAAGGGATGCTCTGTATTCTTGGTGCCTGGGAGCGGGGGGGAGGGCAACAGTGGGAGGGGCTTCTAGTGTCCTGGCCCCACTGCTGGACCTCCTGATGGCACCTGGTGTTTTCGGGCCCCTGTGTGACACAAAGAGTGTTGGACTGGATGGGCCGTTGGCCTGACCCAGCATTGGCTTCTCTTATGTTCTCTTCTGTTCTGAGGCAATCACCCCCTGAATACCCATGCTGGGGGTGGGGGGGGCGCAACGGCGTAGGGAAGCTCTTCCTCCGTGCCCTGCTTGTAGACCTTGTTGGGGCATCTGGTTGGTTGTCGGGTGACACACGGTGCTGGGCTAGAAGGACCCACCGGTCTGACTCCGGCCGGCTGCTCTTCTGCTGACAGCCTTAAACTGACACAGACGTGCCTTTAATCTTCAGAATCCGGCCAGCCAGAGGTTCCCTTGGACAGAGACTTTCTGGTGAAGGAGCTAAACATAGTCGAAGATCCAAGCAGCAGATCAGTGTAAGATAATGCGTATGATGTATGTTTCATTATTATTTACTGATTTCCTTCATATATACCCCGCCTTTCTCTCTAATGGGGACCCAAAGCGGCTCACGTCATTCTCTTTTCCTCCGTTTTACCCACACGGCAACCCTGTGAGGTAGGTTAGGCCAAGAGTGTGCGACTGGCCCAAGAACATCCAGCGAGCTGCCGTGGGGATTCGAACCTGGGCCTCCAAGGTCCCAGCACTCTGACCACTACACCTCGCTGGCTCTCCAGTTTGGGGTTGTGGTTAAGTGCACGGACTCTAATCTGAGAGAACCGTGTTTGATTCCCCACGCCTCCACATGCAGCTGCTGGTGTGACCCTGGGTCAGTCACAAGTTCTTTCAGAGCTGGCAGTCCTTGAGAGAGCTCTCTCAGCCCCGCCTCCCTCACAGGGTGTCTGTTGTGGGGAGGGGAAGGGAAAGGAGTTTGTAAGCCGCTCTGAGACTCCTTTGGGTAGTGAAGGGCAGAGTATAAATCCAATCTCTCTTCCTCCTCCTCCTCCTCCTCCTTGTGGATTTTTCCTGCTCTCGCTGGCATTCACCTTCACATCATGAACGCCTGCAGCACTGACAGTGCAGGGTTTGAGAATGTGACCGCCACCACTGCCTGGGAAGGCTTTTGAAGTGGATCTTTCTAACGAAAGACTATGTAAACAGCTCAACCTATTCTAGTCACAGTTTGTGGTATTAGCCTTAAGAGGTTTAAATTCCGGGAGGGTTTTCCCCACCCCCTCCCCCCGGTGTTTGGTTTGCAGCTCTTTGGTACGTAGCCCACGGCATTCTCTAAGAGCGCTTTCTTGGGCTCGGAGGGCCTGCCGTGGTGTACATCTGCTTAAGATCACTCCGCACTTAGATTCCCCTGTTGAAAAGGTCATAAGCACAACCAGAGACTCGGGCTTCCTCACTCGCTGCCGTCTCTAATCGGTCCACTTTTTAGGAATTTCCGCTGGCTCTTCTGAACGTGTCTTTTATCAGACCATCACCTTGTTACCGATGTTGCCTCATTTTCACTTCAGCTTCAGACGACTTCTCCCTGAATAGACTTCATCATCTCATTTATCCGTCGTAGTCACACAGAGAGTTAACACTGGAAACACTCAGGGCTCTTTTTGTAGAAAAAGCCCAGCAGGAACTCATTAGCATAATAGGTCACACCCAACAGCAAAACTCATTAGCCTATTAGGCCACACCCCTGGCAGCACAGCTCATTAGCCTATGAGGCCGCACCCCCATGTTACCAGAAGTGTGGTCACCCAGCCACACCCACCTTTTGCTTCTTATTCTGTTCACCTTGTTTGTGGTCAAAACCCAGGGCCTTTTCTTGTAGCAGGAACTCCTTTGCATGGTAGGCCACACACCCCTACTGTAGCCAATCCTAATGAGTTTCTGCTCTTGGGTGTGGCCCATTATGCTAATGAGTTCCTGCTGGGCGTGGCCAACTCAGGAGCCAGCCGGAACTCCGTTCCTGTGCGTTCCTGCCCCAAAATAGCCCTGCTCACGATGGTATTCACACCTGACGTCTGTCTCAGCCCCCTTGTGATCTTCCCCTTCATTAGAATTCCCAGTCTGATTTCCCTCCAGGTGGTTGAGGAAATGAGCTGTTGCATAGCCTCAGTAACTCCGTCTTAGTTACAGGCTGGTGCTTGGGTGCTGTGGGGGGACGGCTGTCAGGACGCTCCCAAGAGAGCATTCCTCTCTCTCATGCTTGTTAGCGGCTCTTCTCCAGGAAGCCTGTGTTGTTTCCTCTCCCCACTAGACCCCAGGTGTAAGATACCCCGGCTCATCCTACTATTTGGGATAGCGTAATTATAGCTTTTCTATCTGGATGGGGGATACACTTCTGGGTAGCAGTCTGTGTGAACAGGATCTTGGGGTATGGGTGGACCATAAGTTAAATATGAGCAGCTAGTGTGATGCTGTGACAAAAAAGGCTAATGCGATCTTGTGGTGTATCAACAGAGGCATAACTTCCAAATCGCAAGATGTGATAGTCCAGCCGTGCACTGCATAGGTCAAGCCACACCCAGAGTCTTGTGTGCAGTTCTGGAGGCCTCACTTCAAAGAGGATGTGGACAGAATGGAGCGGGTGCAGAGGAGAGGGACGGGGATGATCGGGGGCCTGGAGACCAAGAAGCCCTACGAGCAAAGGCTGAGGGACTTGGGCATGTTCAGTCTGGAGAAGAGGAGGCGGAGGGGGGACATGGTTGTTCTCTTTAAGTCTTTGAAGGGCTGTCCCTTAGAGGAGGGCTGTTCCTGTGGGCAGCAGAGGAGAGGACTCGCAATTAAAGGATTAAATTAAGGGCGGGAAGGTACCGGCTGGATTTCAGGGAAAACTTTTTAATAGCACGAGTTGTGCGACAGTGGAATCGGCTGCCTCTGGAGGTAGTGAGCCCCCCCCCCCCTCACTGGCAGTCCTTAAGCAGCAGCTGGACAAACACTTCTCAGGGATGCTCTAGACCGATCCTGTATTGAGTTAGGTTAGTGTTCTGTTTTGGAGTCCACAGGAAAACCAGCCAGGGGAGCTCTCTTGTACGAGACCCAGGGAGATGCGTGGAAGCTCTGCCCTTCTTTCTCCTGCTGCCTGGATCCCTCCACTTAGGAGTTCTTTCTCTCTTGACAGGCCGCTTCTGTACGGGATCGTAGCCCAGCTGTTGCAGGCCGATAAAGGAGAAAAGGCCCGCCAGACATTCCCCAGGTCGCCGTCCCTGCAGTTTTCAAGGTGGAATTACAGCAAGCCAGCTCACCACAGGAGCCAAATGGGTACGGTGCGGCGCCTCTGCCTCGTGTGCATGGGTGTTTTATATATAATACAGTAATAATAATAATCTTTCAATTTATTAATCGCTCAATCCTGTAGAGCTGCTGGCTCTGAGCGATTTACAGTTACACATTCACAAGGGACCAACAATGATTCATAGGGGTAAGGGAGGACAACACATATAAATCTTTAAATCGCACACGTTCGCAGCTGACGGGGATTTTGTTTCAGCTGTAGACTAGACATGTTCCAGACGGCATTTTCCCCTCGGCTTGGCTTGATGATATCAGCTTTCTCCAGGACTGCTTCGAGTCACAACGCCGCACTGCCACCGCCTGGCCGGAACGGCCCATTACAGGCTTCTTGATGCCAAAGAGATCTTTCCAGGCTTCCGATCTTACGAGCTGGACATTCCGTTCGCCGGCTAACACCTCCACCGCTGGGAGGTTTAGTGTGCCCACCCTCTCTAAGGAGTGGTGCCCATTTTATCTACTCGCCGAAGCTTTCGAACCGCTGGGTGGACAGCGAGCTGGGGACAAGGCTGGTAGCTCACACCAGCACGGGGCTAGAACTGACAGCCGTTCTGTTCAGCTCAGATGTTACTTATAACCAGAGGATAGTCCCACATACCTCATGGGGTGTCTGTTGGGGAGAGAGGAAAGGAAGGAGATTGTAAGCCGCTCTGAGACTCCTTTGGGTAGTGAAGGGCCGGGTACAAAACCAACCTTCTGTTGGGGTGAAAGCAACTAAGCAAACAGGGCAAGTGGACTCCCTGGTGGGATTGTGGCCGAGGACATTTTGGGGTGGGTTGCAGGGAGAAGTAGCACCCTGTGACATTCCAGATCAGCACACCCCAATGAGATTTCAGTCAAAAGACTGCTTTGAGTGGCTCCGCTCAGGAACCATCTTTCTGCCTTCTACTGGGCTTTGCAGTCTGTGTTCCAATGAGCCACACACAGCAGGTCTCCATCCCTGTTTATCTTTCAGCCACAGTTCCAGAGGCGGCTGGCCCAGGCCTCGAAGGTCCGTCAGCTTTACGCGGCATGCCAAGATGAAGGAACAAACTGCGCAGCTGGTCTTCGGTCCCTAGCTCCCCTGATCCAGCGCTTCTTAAATGTGTGAAGGACCCGTTTGTCCCTGTGGCGTGGCTCCGTATGGGTAAGGACTGTTGAAGGAAATGCCTTATTTCTGAACAACTCCCGGCTGAGGCCGGCTCTGTGGGGCCAGGCCAAGAATTGCCTTTGCAAACTCCAAGGACTTTGGGGAGGTAAAATGACACGCTCGTTAGCGTGCAAACGCAAGAACCTGAGAGATTTATCATCCCAGTGTTTTCTGCTGTTCCACATGCTATCGGTTTCCGATTTTTTATGAAAATACATTTTGGACAAATATGAATAAAAGCTAATTTACTTTGACCTCTTGGTTTGTAAGGGTGTCCAGTAATTTAACCATGATTGGGTGGAAGTAGTGAGCTGATGGGTGCGTCCGCCATTAATGGGTGGAAAGTTAATTCTTACAACAGAATTACGTTGGGGAGGGGCTGTGGCTCAGTGGCAGAGCCTCTGCTTGGCATGCAGAAGGTCCCAGGTTCAATCCCCGGCAGCATCTACAGTTAAAAAGGACCATGCAGGAGGTTATGGGAAAGACCTCCGCCTGAGACCCTGGAGAGCTGTCCAGAGGGGCTGTGAGTCAATGGCAGAGCCTCTGCTTGGCATGCAGAAGGTCCCAGGCTCAATCCACGGCAGCATCTCCAGTTAAAAAGGACCAGGCTGCAGGTGATGGGAAAGACCTCCATCTGAGACCCTGGAGACCTGTAAAGAGGGTCTGTGGCTCAGTGGCAGAGCCTCTGCTTGGCATGCAGAAGGTCCCAGGTTCAGTCCCCAGCAGCATCTCCAGTTAAAAAGGACCATGCAGGAGGTTATGGGAAAGACCTCCGCCTGAGACCCTGGAGAGCTGTCCAGAGGGGCTGTGAGTCAATGGCAGAGCCTCTGCTTGGCATGCAGAAGGTCCTAGGTTCAATCCACGGCAGCATCTCCAGTTAAAAAGGACCAGGCTGCAGGTGATGGGAAAGACCTCCATCTGAGACCCTGGAGACCTGTAAAGAGGGTCTGTGGCTCAGTGGAAGAGCCTCTGCTTGGCATGCAGAGGGTCCCAGGTTCAATCCCCAGAGGCATCTGGGCAGTTTGGTGATGGGGGGAAGACCTGCACCTGTGACCCTGGAGAGCTGCTGCCAGTCTGAGTAGACAATACGGACACTGGTGGACCAATGGTCTGATTCTGTATAAGGCAGCTTCATGTGTAATTACATTAAGAATCATGTCTTATCTCTGTGGAAGCTTGAGGTATGTGTATCCCAGTGGGGAACAGACCACAGCATCAAGGCACAACGTATTTGGCCTACCGCCCCCTTTTCAGACAAGAATTACTCAGTCTCCCTTCAAGAAGTGGACAAAAAGGTGCAGCGACAAATTTGCACCCAAGGCTCCTACCACCCACCTGGATCGTTCCAGCGGCCCCCAGGGGGCGCTATTGCCCACTTTGGGAACCAGTGGAGTAAGGGCAGGGTTGCCTGTTCTTCCCAGAGATGAAAAATCAAACGTTGAGTAAGCCGTCAGAAAAGAGGATTACGTTTAAGACCTGTATATAAACTAGCGGTACAAATTGCCTGTCTGGAGGGGCCTGCATTGGCTGGCCTCAGCTGTCCTTGTGACGTCTCTGAATGTCCATAAGCATTTAGCCTGCTCTGGGGAGAGAGCCTCAAACAGCACCTACGTCTGTGGTGGCCAGTCTTTGGGCCAGCGTGGCGTAGCTCAAGTCCGGCCTGGCACCCTGGAGCTGCCTGTGCCGTGATCAGAAGAAGAAGAGAAGAGATTGGACTTATACCCCATGGCCCTTCACTACCCAAAGGAGTCTCAGAGCGGCTGACAAACTCCTTTCCCTTCCCCTCCCCACAACAGACACCCTGTGAGGTCGGTGGGGCTGAGAGAGCTCTGACAGAAACTGCTCTTTTTCAAGGACAACTCTTGTCTGAACTACGGCTTGCCCAAGGTCATCCAGCCAGGTGCCAGTGGAGGAGGAGTGGGGAATCAAACCCGGTTCTCCCAGATTAGAGTCTGTGCTCTGAAGAAGAGGAGGAGGAGGAAAAGGACATTGGATTTATACCTCGCCCTTCACTACCCAAAGGAGTCTCAGAGCGGCTTACAAACTCCTTCCCCTCCCCTCCCCACAACAGACTCTCTGTGAGGGAGGTGGGGCTGAGAGAGTTCTTTCAAGAACTGCCCTTTCAAGGACAGCTCTGACAGAACTGCGGCTTGCCCAAGGTCATCCTTGCCCAAGGTCATCCAGCAGGTGCATGTGGAGGAGTTGGGACTCAAACCTGGTTCTCCCAGATTAGAGTCCGCGCACTTAACCACCACACCAAACTCTCATGCTGTAGGAAGAAAGGGAGCTTGTGAAAGCTTATAGCAAGACCAGTGTTCCCTCTAAGCTGAGTTAGTGTGAGCTAGCTCACAGTTTTTGCGTGCACGCGCAGCCGCAGAGCGCCTTTGGAACTTTTGGCTTCCGCTGATCACCGAGGGCCACAGGCAAGCCGATTTCCCCCCAGCCTTAAAAAGAGCGCTTGCGTCCTGGCTGCCTAAAGTTGTGCTATGCTCGTGGCCGGTTGTTTCCCTGCATCAACGCAACTTGCAGGTGGAAGGGCTTCCGTCTCTCTCGCACAAATACCCACTTTTCTTTTTAACGTCGCCACACTCAGCTAAATTATCTTCCTTGAGGCAGTGCTTAGTGCAATCCAGTGCGTGTTTACTCCAAAGGACATGCTACTTGGTTCGATGAAGCTTAAAGTAAGGGTAAAGGTTCCCTTGCTCGAAAGCCAGTCGAGTCCGACTCTAGGGTTGCGGTGCTCATCTCCGTTTCAAAGCCGAAGAGCCAGCGCTGTCCAAAGACATTTCCGTGGTCATGTGGCCGGCATGACTAAACACCGAGGCGCACGGAACGCTGTTCCCTTCCCACCTAAGTGGTACCTATTTATCTACTTGCAATTTCTTGCTTTAGAACTGCTAGGTTGCCAGGAGCTGGAACTAGAGACGGGAGCTCACTCCATCATGCGGCACCCGGGTCTCGAACTGCTGAACTACTGACCTTCCACAGCCTGCAGTTCAGCATCTTAACCACTTGAGCCACTACAAGCTTACTTGCAGGTAAATGGGTGTAAGATCACAAACCCCATGCCAGTTTGGTGTTAAGTGGTTAAGTGCACGGACTCTAATCTGGGAGAACCGGGTTTGACTCCCCACTTCTTCACATGCACCTGCTGGATGACTTTGGGCAAGCCGTAGTTCTGGCATAGCTGTCCTTGAAAAAGAGCAGTTTCTGTCCAGAGCTCTCTCAGCCCCACCTCCCTCACAGGGTGTCTGTTGTGGGGAGGGGGAGGAACAGGAGTTTGTAAGCTGCTCTGAGACTCCAAGTGAAGGGCGGGGTATAAATCCATTCTCCTCCTCCTCCTCCTCCTCCTCCTCCTCTTCTTCCTCTTCTTCTTCTCCTTCTCCTCCTTCTTCATCCTTTTCACTCTCACAGCTGGGAGATGCTCATCCTGGCAGAAGCCTTCTACTGTTTTATGAGCATCTCTTTCTCCAAATGGGCTCTTTTCTTCTCGATGATCAGGGAAACTGACCCTCAGCCCCCCAAAGACTGGAGGGCAGGCAGGAGTCCGGTCCTGCGTAAGAAGCATCGTTTCCGAGGGCAGCCACGTCTGTCTGGGGTGGAAGAGCTACATTCGAGTCCGGAAGGACCTTGGAGACTTGGAGATTTTGGGGGGCTGAGCTTTCGAGAGACAAAGCTCTGATCTGACGAAGGGAGGTTTGACTCTGAAAAGCTCATACCCTGAAAAATCTTGTTGGTCTCTATGAGCGAGAAGAGGAGGAGGAGATTGGATTTATACCCCATGGCCCTTCACTACCTGAAGGAGTCTCAGAGCGGCTTACATCCCCTTCCCCTCCCCACAACAAACACCCTGTGAGGCAGGTGGGGCCGAGAGAGCTCTCTCGAGGACTGCCCTTGAGAGAACAGCTCTGAAGGAACTTGTAACTGACCCAAGGTCACACCAGCAGCTGCATCATGTGGAGGAGTGGGGAATCAAACCCGGTTCTTCCAGAACAGAGTCCGCCACTCTTACCCACTACACTAGACTGGCTCTCAGTTTGGCATTCAGCAGTGATGCTGAAGGGAAGAACGTTCCGCACATGCTCAGAGGAAGGCAACGTCTGTGGAAGGGGGAAAATACCTATCTGCTATATATTTTAATCACAGCCTTCTTCCACGGAGAACCAGCATGCACGATTCTCCCTTTCCTTGTTTTATCCTCACAACGAGCCTGCAAGGTAGGCCAAACTGTGAGCAGGTCTCTGGCCCCAGGCCACCCACGGAGCTTCCAGGATGAGTGAGGCTTCAAACTCAGCTCTCTGGGGCCTGAGTCCAACATGGTAGCCAGCCACCACCCCGCCCTGCTTCTCCAGGGTCCCGCGCTTGGAAGGTTTGCAGGGCTAGACAGCCACGCGGCTGGTATCTTGTAGCTCCGGTGCTGCTGGCCTTGTGAGGGGAGCCGAAATGGGCTCTCGGGGGTGAGTTAACTTGGCCTCTCCCTGTTCTGGGTCTGGCCGAGTTCAGCCGTGGCGAGCCAGTTCATGCGCGGGGATGTCAGGTCGAGCGATGCCTGGATCGTGGCCGGCTGCGTTGCTTGCCCTTAATCGCTCCCCAGCTTTCCGCCTGGCCCTGGATCAGGCTTGGTCCCCCCCCCCCACCCCCCACGTTGCTTTTGTCAGAGGCTTCACTCGCCTGCCAAGCGGCTTCTGTGTACGTTGGTGGGTGCAAAGGCGGAGAATTTCCATTCCTTTTTAAGCTCTGGCCCCTGGAAGGTGCTGGAGGTATTTACAAAACGGTTTTATGGCTCCGCAGAGGAAGGAAGGAAGACTCGGGGAATAACTTGGGGGGGGGGGCAGGAGAGATGGCTTGCGTCAAGGGAGGTCTGCTCAGGGCACGGGCAGTCCCCCTCTCCAACTTTGTGCGGGGTTTTGGCTCTCCCGCAGGGTCCCTTGGAATGCTCCTGGCCGCTGAAGCACCCGCACCCTCCCTCCCCTCCTCTCTGCTGGGTCTCCTTCTCAGCATATGCCCTCAAAAGAGGGACTCAGGGGACTCCCACGACCCTCTCCTTCCCTTCCGCAGCCCCAGTCGCTGTGCCAAACCAGCAGCAGCCTACTTAGCATTTCTGTGCAACAATTCAAGGGTTCCACATACGTTGTGCGTATTGTCATGAGGAGCCTTACAAGACCCCTGCGAGGTAGAC